TGCGCTCTTTGGTTTGATTCGATGTCTCTCTGGTTCGTGCACGCTTCCGTGACCGACAATACTTGGAACCGATTTGCTGATTGACTCGCTGGGTGTTACGGTAATTGGGGCGCTGGTCTTTTAGTAGATGTTTTTTTTTAAAGTTCTAATTCACGCAACGCGGTTCCAAACGGAAGCGGCTTTTTCTTCTGACACCATCGTCATCACACGAACGAATTCTGTGGCTTCAGCGCATTAATGCATTTAGCGGATTTCAAAGATATCGATATCCACATGACGAGACATGTCTGGGTCCGGTTTTATATTTATTTCAGACATAATTAATTCAGCACTAGTTCGCTGCCCTGTCGTATATTTATCTAAGATTTGAACGCCATGGTTTTTCCATGGTACTTTCGACGATTTAAATGCGATCATTGAAAATAAATCAAAATCGGTAATGCGAAGATTTCAGGAGAGGTAGCCGAACTTCAGCTCCTTGCATTGAGAGAGGAGAAAAAATCGAGGTGAAGGCGAAACGCCTCCAAAACACTGAGGACCGGGATGATTAGAAGAATCTCCTTCCCCCTGATGCTGGCTCCGAACAAACCAAAAGGAGTTGCGAACACTGCACACTGGTAACGGCTGAAAAGAAACAGTCAGATCCGACCTGCACGGACCCCAAAAATGACGTTCAGCACTATTAAAGTCTACTTTATTGAATCATAAGACATGCCAGAAACCTACAGATTGAATTTGGCTTATTTTCCTGCCTGAAACAATGCAACAGGTTATTAATACCCAAATTAAGGCCTTGGGTAACAGCCTATGATGCTGAAAAAATAACATATAGAAAAGCAAAGCAGCAGGCAGGGTGAGAGCTAACAAAGAATATTTTTCAAAACGTCCTTTTTCATCATGATCGATCAGATTAGGTAGGCATGTTTTGGATTTGTATCAGATACCGCATATTGTTGGGAAACGCGTGGCAAGCTTAGCTTCTTTTCAGCGACTATACAGCAGTTAGGAAGCTTTTCTTAACACAGGTTTAAACAAAATATACAGGTTTAAGAAATTCTGGTTGCGGTAGAACGCCAATTCTTGAAGATATTTTTCTCGAGTCAACGAGTCTCTCACAGTTAGAAAAAAGTCTATACAAGAATAGGAAAAAACAAAACAAAAACTTCATCTACATTTAGCGGTCCTTGAATTCTGCAGTTTCCTGGAAGAACAGTGAACAAAAAATTAAAAATAAATAACATCCGTTTTTTTCAGGAACGTGCACTGCAACTCTAAACTGCAACACTAATTTTTTGCACAATGAAATTGCAAACGATTGAAAGAAAAATCTTGCCGGACCGTTTTCTGGAAAAACTTCTAAAGCGCTGCTTGCAATTGAGCCACGAGGGCACTGTGTCATATGGTCAAGGTCAAGGCCAAATGGAATCAAACTTTGGCATGCAGGACGGCACGAAGCACAAAACATGGAATTTCTTAGCTTGACAAAATGCCGCATTGTTTACCCAACACAGGACATGTTGGGCAACTTATAGTTATGGATTCGAAACTATAAAGTCGTTCCTCTATGAAGCAGATAAGTAGGAAAGCAGCGAGTATGTAAGTACGTACAGAAACACGCAAACAAATAAGTGAATAATATGCAAGTGAGCCTAAAATAGTTAATAAATAAGCAGTTACTAAGTATGTAAACATGTAAATAAATAAACAAACAACAAAATTAGTATTTAATTTAGTGAATACGAAAGTAGCTAAATCAGAAGATAAACGAAAAAGTTAGTGAATAACTAAGTAGGGAATAAACAAATACGTAAATGAGTAAGCTATTAGCGAGCAAGCTAATATGTAGAATGGTATTTATATAAACAAGTAACTAAATGAGCAGTAAAATAATCAGTAAGCAAATGTACATGTAAGTAAAGTAGGTGAGAACGTAAGTAATTTAGTATGCACATAGGTCACCGGTAAGTAGGTAGATAAGTAAATAAGCAGGCGCATAAGTAAGTAATGAAGTAGATAGGTAAATGATTGTGGAAATAAGCATGATGCGCATGAAGAAAGTAAGTAATTAATTAAGTGAATCGTAATTAAGTAAATAAGTCGTTAAATAATTATGCAATTAAGCAAGTACCGTAATAAGTGAGTAAGTCAGTGGAAAATTAAGGGAGTAAATGAGAAAAACAGGCACAAAAGCTCCTAAGTGAGTAAGCAACAAACGACTTAAACTCGACATAGCTCTGCATCACGACGATTTTAATAGTAGCTTGTAAAAGCTAGCGTTCGTTCGATCTGCTGAAAAGGATTATTGACGTTAATCGACATTTATTAATTCTTTTAAAATCATGGTTGCCGACCGCTACGGCGTTGTAAATTATATTAACATTCACGCTGGAAAAAATTCCAAATTAAGCAAATATATATTGTAGTAAATGAACAAGCCAGTTTCGATGTCCCATTTATTCACACGGATCGCTGAGGACTACGGATAAGGCAATGTTTCCAATGTTCCCAATCCCTTGCCAACGCTTGAGGTTCAGCAGAAAATGATCCGAGTCTGAAAGAGAGTTAGCCGAGATACATGTTCCAGGACATTCTTAGCTATCCCGAGGTCTTCGACCGGTTGATTGGGCAATTGGTAACTTTTTCGCCCTCAGTTCCGAAAGCAATCGCAAGACGTGCCCAAACCATGGCAGCTTTTCAACTTGAAGAAGAAAAAACTGAACACCATGCTTCTGGCTCACATCTCTACTAGGGACCATATCGAGAGCCCGCCACGCGATTTGTCTCAGGAAGCCCATTTCAGCAGCTTGTACCCGGATTCAAAGCTTTTCACTCATCGTCCACGACTCAAGACCGTAGACAAACACGGAGATGAGGATCGGCCTGAATGCCGAGAGTTTGAACTTCACACTCGGCTCTACCTTAATCACAGTGGTTCGGGCTGGTTTACTCAGAACGACATTGGTTATTCCAATCCAATGGTCTATCTCGTTCTCCCATTTTCTATCATCGGATAGCATTACCTAGATGTACTTAAATTTCTCCATCTGTTCCACAGTTTTTCCATTTATCCGTTCAGCTCATTGAGCAGAAAACTGAATAAAACTTTAGACCTTTACACGTGTTCAGGAGTATACCGGCCACGTCTCACTCGGTTGCGAACATTCTCAGAGGACGCTGGAGATCAGTTTGAGAAGATGCCACCGAAACGCAGCACTAAACAGGGCATTTGAGACACATGCCCGAGGTCATTTGTGGCAGTCCCGAGGTCTTTAGCCAGTAGACACGGGCGAGTAGTGACTGTTTCGTTTTGCTTCCTGGAGGCTTTCGCAATGCGTGCTCAAATCATGAGTAAGCAGGGACGTAAATAAACGAGTCAGTACGCGGACTTTTGTTTGGCACTCGTCGGTGAACAACATTACGCAATATCTGCTTTACTTCTTTCGTCGTTCTGGCTATTGTTGTTTCTTTTGTTCTTGACTGAAATACGAGCTCTCATGACAAGCTCTGATAGCATTAAAATTTTAACAGTACGTTTACACCGTGTATATCCTGCAAAAGAAATTGACATAATGTCTTTATGGGCAGAATTTAATCTTGGTATTTATACAACTGTTCGGCAGTCGTGGCAGAACATATCGGTTATGTCTCGTTCATATATATGCTTAAGGATGGTGGCATTTAAGCTTAAGTTCGAACGTCTCTGTGTCCAGCCAGATCGACCCAAGCCGTTCGATTGATGCGTTGGAGATGCTCAGACACTAGGGAGTAGTCTTCTGCTTAAATGTTACCCCTGAGCGCTTGGCGGAAAAGACATGCGGATCCGGCAAAATGAATGACTCATATTCTTGAAACTTTGCATGTGATGGAAGTGATCTGCCAAACATTGAGTTGCCAACGCCGAAGTTACATTCCTGTAACAACTATTTTTGCCTTGTGACTAATTTCGTTTCCTCTTCCCCATAGCCTCACGGTCGTGGAGGTTCTCAAACAGTTCAGACTTATAGGTCGTTCGTTGTGTGACGGCTCAGCATTTGTTTGATTCACGTCTTGTCAGGCGTGCACACTTGTCCAGAGGTACACGAAAATTTTCCCTCAATTTTTGTGCTGCTAATAAGTCTCTGGCAGAAACGACCGAAATGCTGGTTGTTGCAGTGAAGTAGTTCTGGCTAAACGATATTCTGCTGAATCCATGGTGTGCAGGCCACGACTGGGTCGGATCCGATG